ATACATATATATAACTTTGTGTTTATACACACACACATACACACACATTACTTCGCAAAAATTGTCACAGAGGATTCATTCATTTGTTTTTTATTTTTCATTCACTTTAATATGAATTTATTTATTCTAGTCAGAATAATAAATAATCGATAATATTTGTATAATTGGTCGCACTCCACTCAGCGATACATGACGCCAATATATATTATCGCGATGTATTTAGAATTGCGGGTATAAAAAATAGAATTAGGCAATAAGAAAGTAGTGATTATATTGACAATGAATTTATAAATGATGAAAAACATTAAGATCGGGTCATAACGTGTGTTGTACAAATCTTTTCATGTTATTATTCATACATACATTGTCTTCACATATTCACAGATCTATATAAAAAATATATATAACTCTTATATACAGACCTAAAATAATTTATCCAACAGCGAAAATGAGTTCCTAATTGACGAAATAGTCGTTTTTTCCTGATGATTAATATGGCGTTTGAGCACGCTCAAAAGTTTTTGGTATAAGAATGATTGCCTAGCCGCAAAAAAATATGAAATAGCATGAGTTTATTATTTTTCCTTTTGTGTTGCAATTAATTTCATTAAAAGGATGCAACCATGTATATTTGACATATATAGAATTTCGAAACATCATTGGCAATTCAATAAAAACGGAGCGCGTGCTGAATTTTCCATTTTTTAAATACAATTTAAGGATTTGGCGCATCTTTCTTTTATTTTACCAATGATGTTTTTAAACCACGCTGACTTACCTGCTGGCTGGTTTGCATATTGACAAATGATCCTGTGGAATCTCAAAGAATTCCCCTATGCCAGGATCTGGAAAGACATGTAATACGAATTGCATGATATAGCATATTATCTTGTGATGATAAGAATCTAGATTTATTGCCATTAAATTACATTAAAATTTAATCACATATATAAATCACATATGAAAAATCTAATACATTATCCTAATGCATTACCTGCCGAATTAAGGCTGACGAATTGGAAGGGGAACTTTAGCGTGGTTACAAGCGTAGGTTTGGCCTCGGCAAAACTCACTATTTCTATATGATATTCCTTCAACATTTCTAGGAATTCCTCATGCAATTTTAGCAATTGTGGCGATTCTGAAACATTAGAATAATACATTAGTTATTTATTAATTAGAGAACTAGATGGATCAAGAAGATTACCTTCGCGCAGTTCTTGAACCTCGACTGTTGGCCATACCAACATTTGCGTCATTTGCTTCAGAGCTGCCACATGAGAACCTCGGTGAGGAGTACCGTAAAATAAGATAGCTTTGGTATTCTTGCAAATACCGTGCTTATCTCCAGTTTTCCACTCTATAAGCAATATATAATAATGACTTGTAATAGTATTAACAATAACGATAGCAATATAATAATAGTTTCTTGATATATACATTAAAATATATAAAAAATATATACAAATTCAATTTACCTTCTACAAGCATCTTTTTAACTAATAATCCACCCATTGAATGACCAACCCATATAAGCGGCCGCTGTCCTACATTTGCCATTGTTAATTTGGTAATGAATTCTTCGCTCCTATCTTTAATAGTGTTCCTAACCAATGTGATGTATCAAATATAATTATTGGTATATCTAATACACACCTACATTAAAAGTAAGAAAGAAGAAGAGGGGAAAAAAAAAAAATGAAGTAATATTGAATAATATGAAATAAATATTCCCGTATGACAATAAATGAAATATATATATATATAACACTCACTTCTTATTTTGTATTGGGCAGAAAGGAGTCCACATAGATAAACTTGTATCATAATTAATACCTATAAGTCGTAAGGATGGTATGTCCATGGGTAACCAATCTTTGGGCCAACATAATGATTTAGATGTACAATCGAATCCATTCTTTATGCAGACATTATCTCTAAAAATATATGTGTGAAAATTCACTATTAATTAAAGATATGGTATTTATGAAAATTATTATTTACAAGCACATCTTTCATTTGTATCATTCTATAGATATGTAAAAATTTACCCTTTGCAAAAATAAGGTCCGCATGCGTGAGCATTTGTGTTTTGTGGACAATCATCCAATACCACTTCAAAATCTTGGCCTATTTTTTTCCATTCACGTAAGTGCAGGTCGCGGGCTAAATCTTTAAAAAATTCCTGAGGACGATCGTCGTCGATCATAGTAGATAAATAATCCATAGTCTGATTTAATGTATTGGGATCTACAATTAAATGTGCAAAATATATATATATATATATATATATCACATCTATATTCTTTAACAAATATATATATATATATATTATATATAAAATATAGATGTGTGATCTTTATTATGACAAAATAAAATTCGAAGAATATGATCATGGATATTGACGAACCTGTAACTTCAAATGCAGAAGTATCTACATCGCGTTGTCTCCAAGTAACAAAGACTCCACCTAACAGTCCATGCAAAAACACAACATCCATCTTTGTGGCTGCATGAACTCTGTACAGGGGATGAAGAAGATAAACACGCTGCGAGTATTTTGCTCCTTCGTTTCCGTCCGTATCCAAATTCGCTAATGCACTGATCGCCTGTGCCGACAGACGAATATCATCACTGCGAGACCAACGTGACAATATGCCGATCCACCCTTATCAAACGCAATTTATGTCATGTATTCGCAGCGCAATGATATCGCAGAAAGCTCGATGAGTCTATCTTACCGGATTCATAGATATTGTTTAAATACTCGGAGTGAAGAGACATATTGGATAATATTTTCGCGAGTAATATGCAAATTTCAATATCATCGCTGCAAATTTTTTGTATCGCCATTAATATTGGCAAAACTCCGGCACTGATCAAGTCTAAAATCCAAAAATCAAAGAAAATATGTAGGGTAAACAATCTGTGAAATTAATGTATGATGTATGATATTTTTATATCTCACGTTTACTATACTGTTCCACAGATGAATGGTGACAGATTGCTTCAACACAACTTTTAAGCAATTCATTATCCCAGACAATTGTTGTTTCCGTTGAAAGGCCTACACTTGTCAAATCATGATCAAACCACTCTACAAGATACTGTACATCAAATTGAATACATGGTTATATATGGTTAATATTATTAAGTCATAATCACAATACTGTAACATTGTATATGTTAGAAAAAGATCATTTTCTTGCAATATCCTTACTCAATTATAATAATTAATTTTTGTAAATATTTATAACTTTAAAGATAATACTGTACAATTTATTACATATATATATTTGTTAATTTATTATGTCTTTTATTATCGTACTATAATTAATATTTTGTTTAATATATATTTGTGTACTTACTCGATGTGAGTCTTTGAACTTTTTACTAAGGAACTGTGTAAGACAGAGATGTCCATTATCACATAAAGTATTCAAATGTAACAGCAATGAATGTACTTGTTCTAAGACATCCTACAAAAACAATTTTACTTATCATTACTATAATTGTCAGATATAATGTACATATATGTATTTTTCATAAAACATTTAAAAGTTTTAAATGATTGTGTTACATACATGTAAGTTATATTGTATATGATAATATGGTGGCTGCAGAAAGAATTGCAGATTAACATTTGACATTCTTGCAAGGGCTACTGCTGTTCTAGCATCCAACATCTGTGCCAAATGACGATATTGCCAATCTAAAAGATATGTATTCTATAAATATTACACACATATATACACACACACACACACAAATGTCTAATATTTATAAGATTTATAAATATTACTTATATTATTTATAGGAAAAGTTAGTCCTGCTATATTTAAAAAGAGCTATAATTAACGACATCAGAGTATATAACAATAAATAAACTTACCTTTCAAGTTTGATAAGGAACTAAGAGCAGTTACAGCTTTGAATCGTTCAGTTTTATCCCCGTGTTGCGCCATATACAATAATTTATATGCCATTTTATGATTTTTTATCTTCCACCGGTTTGTGAACATATCACTAAAATTCTGTGGCTTCTCCAACGCAGATCTATGTAGGTCCTCATCTTCTTTGGATATAAACACATCTGGAAACACAGTACAGAAAATTAAGTAACATTTGTATATCGTTATATTTATCAAAAATATAATCATATTGCAAAATTACCTTTAAATCGAGGATCATCGATATAAATATATTGCGCATGTGTTTGTTCCAAATTTAGAACATTTATATTGACAGTGGACCGAACGATCTGTGATACCTGCCGCAGTTGATACAGAAACCAGCAACTTCTGTATAATACAAGCAATTTTTCTCTAAGTACATTCTCTAACACAATTATGATTTTCATCTCGATAAATATTTTCTTCCAACTTACCCCAGTATCACAACGCAAGTACCACTTGTTTTCAAATAATACACGTAGTTTTTTAAAATTTGTATTCGCATTGTATACGGTACGGCACAAATTCTTATCGCATTCTTAACAAAACTGAACAGAACAAAACGGAAGCAAAAAGAAGCAAATTCCGTTGTAATATAATATTTACATTTCACATTGATGCTTTGAAATGTCAAATGTCAAATGTCAACCTACCTTTACACATGCAAAAAGCAACTATTGACATTATGCCCGTATCACACTAGCAGCTCGCGGTCGCGACTGCGATCTGCGATTGCGATTCTGCCTCAGCCAATTAAAAAGCAGCGACCAGCGATTGCGACTGCCTGTATTACAATAAGGTAAATTAGAGATGTAAAGCTATACCTATATACAGTCGATACAACTGACAGACTGGTGCGCGTGACGTCGATAACGACGATATGGCGTCTGTCAAAGTAACGGAGCAGAAGGTTATATTGTGCGGCGAATACGGCGTCGGCAAGACGTCTATATTCCGACGCTTTGCTAACAATACATTCGTTGCCAGTAGCGATCGTAAGTCGACCCTGGGCCTCGACAATATCGATAAAGAATACGTTGTTGAAGACAGGCGAATTCGCGTGAGTATTCAATCTTATATCTACCAGTCGCTTTTTATTTTGTAAAATGCAAAACATTTAATTATAATAGGTAATTACTTTCGACAAAAACATTGTGTTTCTTTTTCTTATTGATTATGTTAAGTCGTCTCTATGTGAATTCTACTATATAAAATTTATTTTTGTATTATCTTCTGTTCTGCTAAATTAAGTATGAGTTATGTACAATGAACTATATAATAAATTGAAATAATTTACATATTTCAGTATTATGGTTCTTAAATGTTGCATAAATATACTAATAGATATATTATTTATATATAACCAAGAGATATATAGTACAATACATTTTGCACATCCCTTAGAGTTAATGAGTATTTCTGACTTTATGCTTTTTACTTTTCTTAGCTACAACTATGGGATACTGGTGGTATGGAAAGAGTAGCATCCGTTACGTCGAGTTATTACAAATTTGCAGAGGCTGCTATTCTGGTATTTGCCCTGGATAATTCAACATCGTTTCATTTATTATCCCAGCACTTGCTTGATATAGTTACATATGCAGAAAATGCAAAGATATTTCTTTGCGGAAACAAAAGTGACCTGGAAAGCATTGCACCACAAGTCACAGATGCAGAGATGGAACAATTTTGGTAAAGATTTTTAAAATTTTTCTTTTGCAATTGACTTAATTTTTGATGAAGTGCGAAAAAGATAAATCTCTTCTAGTGAACAATGTCATAATTTGATTTCGGGAATATACAAAACATCATGTAAAACTGGTGAAGGAATAAATGAGATGTTTGAGGATATAGCGCAACATCTGGTGGAAGCTAATCGGTCGCGAATGGAGCTTCACGAGATGGATAAGGATCGTTTTAAAATTTCCTACATCGACGAAGCGGCTGATCCGTCATGTTTGTGTTAATCTATGATTACAAACAAATGTATAATCTTTGAAAACTTCCAAGGCTCAATGTGGATTGTAACACTAAGGGGAATCTTTTATATCAAACATCTATTACATACGACTTTTCTATGAGGAAAGGTCGCGAAAAGAGAGGATGAAAAAAATGTACAAGCGTGATGTACGTATATAAATGACGTATTGCATTTACGATTTTAAATAGAGTTTAATATACATGATGGTAAAGACTTTCAAATAAAAAATTATTATTTACATTGTGAGAAATTATACTTCTAATCAACTTACAAATTTGCAGAGGCTGCTATTCTGGTATTTGCCCTGGATAATTCAACATCGTTTCATTTATTATCCCAGCACTTGCTTGATATAGTTACATATGCAGAAAATGCAAAGATATTTCTTTGCGGAAACAAAAGTGACCTGGAAAGCATTGCACCACAAGTCACAGATGCAGAGATGGAACAATTTTGGTAAAGATTTTTAAAATTTTTCTTTTGCAATTGACTTAATTTTTGATGAAGTGCGAAAAAGATAAATCTCTTCTAGTGAACAATGTCATAATTTGATTTCGGGAATATACAAAACATCATGTAAAACTGGTGAAGGAATAAATGAGATGTTTGAGGATATAGCGCAACATCTGGTGGAAGCTAATCGGTCGCGAATGGAGCTTCACGAGATGGATAAGGATCGTTTTAAAATTTCCTACATCGACGAAGCGGCTGATCCGTCATGTTTGTGTTAATCTATGATTACAAACAAATGTATAATCTTTGAAAACTTCCAAGGCTCAATGTGGATTGTAACACTAAGGGGAATCTTTTATATCAAACATCTATTACATACGACTTTTCTATGAGGAAAGGTCGCGAAAAGAGAGGATGAAAAAAATGTACAAGCGTGATGTACGTATATAAATGACGTATTGCATTTACGATTTTAAATAGAGTTTAATATACATGATGGTAAAGACTTTCAAATAAAAAATTATTATTTACATTGTGAGAAATTATACTTCTAATCAACTAGGCTTGATTTATTAATGTAATTTACGATCGATAATATATAATCAACATACATACTATGTATACTTAAGGCTGTAAAGACCACATGATAACGAGGTACTAGTGCTGAGCCCAATTGATAGTTTTCAAGTCGATACCATCTTCCATCATTTCCCATAACGGGCTGTAAAAGAACAAGCGAATAAAGATTAGAGTTTCGGCACTTATTCTTGACGTAACATCGTCACGACTAATAGATATGTATAGAGATAGAAATAATCACATGATCTCATGAAACGTCCAACAATAAAGTTATTCTCTCCGTGAAATAAGATTACAAACGTTTCAAATTGTTAAGGTCAAAGTAACACATAATATAAGTCTAAATATTATAGATCCTTCACCATGTCTTACATTTGAGAAAAATAAACATTTATATGGTAATTAATGAACGTGTTACCTCATGCCCCGAAGTCGTTTCACTTGCTTTATCGTATTTTCCGCGGTGAAATTCATTTCTTCCAATGTTGTAAATCGTCCAATGCCAAACCTAGTTAACAAAATTGCAAAGTTACATTTATAGAATATAAAATTATTAATAAGATAACTTTGCTAATTAGCAAAGTGCCTTAATTTTGAAATATATGAAATGTGGATTTTACCTAATACTGGAATGAGCTAGATCTTCAGAAGCACCAATCGCTCTCAGCACATAACTGGGCTCCAAGCTCGCGCTGGTGCATGCCGAACCGCTGCTAAGCGCTATGTTCTTCAGAGCCATTAATAACGATTCACCTTCGACACACGAAAACGATAGATTCACGCAGCCGGGATACCAAGCTACGGGGTCGCCGTTTCGCACAACGTGCGTCAAGTTCGACGTTATCTTCTCAATGAGGTAATTCGAGAGCGTGCTGATGTATTTGTGATCGTACTAGAAAATACATATAGTATGGACTTTAATATCTTAAAACGTATTACACATAGCAGTAACTTTTCATTTCACTCACATCCATCTCGCTCTGCGCTAGCTCACAAGCGGCACCCAGTCCTACAGCTAAGGGTGCAGGTACAGTGCCGCTTCTCATTCCTCTCTCTTGTCCACCCCCACTTTGCAACGGTTCCACACGCACCCGTGGTCTTCTTCTAACATATAGGGCTCCAATCCCTTAATCAGCAATTAATAAAATGGATGCGTAAAAGATGTATCAAACTCTTATCATGCGTTTTAAGTGGGAATTATATTCATATTTTTCATAAAAAGTTCACTATTAAAAACCAATATATAGATAAAAAAAAAAATTTATACCTCTAGTACATTGATATTTGTGAGAAAGTTATATTATTTTTCTTTTTATAATAATAAATTACAATAATTGCGGAATTACCTTTTGGGCCATATAACTTATGACCGCTAATAGACAAAAGATCAATATTCATGGCGTTAACATCGACTGGTATTTTGCCAACAGCTTGCGCAGCATCTGTGTGAAAAAATACTTTCTTCTTTCTATAACATTAAGAACAACACAAATAGAATTAAAAGAGAATTATAATAGAACAATCATAATATTTTAAATTTGATATCTTACCTACAAATGGCGCCAATTTCCTCAATAGGCTGTTTAACACCAATCTCATTATTCACCATCATTATAGAAACAAGCGATGTAGATGGTCTAATGGCTGCTTCTAATTCATTGATATCAATAAGACCATTTGAGTTAACAGAAATGTATGTTACATCAAATCCTTCTGCTTCCAAGGCTCTACATGAATCCAATACACATTTGTGCTCCTGGATAAATCAAACAACTTTATTATATATATTAAGACAAGATTTTTTATAAAGATGCAACTTTCTTACTGTCTGGGTCGTCACAACATGATTTTTTCTTGATTTGTAGAACCTTGCTACACCTTTCACAGCTATATTATTACATTCTGTCGCACCAGATGTAAATATCACTTCCTTCTTATCTGCTCCTATGAGATCTGCAATTTGCTGTTAAAAAGAAAAAACACAAATAATTTTTTATATATTATAAAATCATAAAATACAACAAATTTTGTAAGTTAAGACACCAACTTGGCGAGCATGCTCAACTGCTGCTTCTGTTTCCCAACCATACATATGAGTTCTGGAATGTGGATTGCCATGGTATACTGTCAGATATGGCATCATTTTATCCAACACTCGAGGGTCCTGCGTAATAGTTTAACATCTTAGTTTTTTACATGTATATAGATTGCATCATATGACATCATGTTTTCAATTTACCAGTGGGGTAGTAGCTTGGGCGTCCAAATAAAGAGCTCTACCCTCCGTTGGACCCTTTTTATATTCGTCCGTGATGGGAGCTATACAATGTATAAAAAATTACTATTAAATATTACACTTGACATATATATATGATTAAAGATGCATTAATTTTGGTACCTCAACGATACTTACATTCATACTCGGCAATGTCTGACAAGTGCTGACCGCACGTGTGCAGACAATGGCGATCTTTCACGCGATGTAACGCGGATAACAAACATCTTGTCGATCGAAACATTCTAATAATTGCCTGAAATTATTCTCATGAAGACGAATCACACATTCCACGAACTCGCATGTTCTAACCTCGCGGAAGCAACACTGTGCCGCACCATCAACCATCAACAATAGCAAAATGAGCACAGCGGCACAAGCGGAAGAAAATGAAGTATTGGTATACATATATATATAATATATATATAGATATTACATTACTATGCAACTTTTATAATTTCTCCATCATTATGAGAATCATAAATGTAAAAGGATGAGGTATATATTTTGTTATTAAGAAATTACACATAATCCTGAAAAAAAAATTACAATTGTATTTCATTTCAGTCATTTCACAATGATTGAAAAATCGATTATTAATTAATTTTTACATATAATAAATATGAATTATCTTGAGATATAATTATCAATTATATATTGTAATTATAATATTTTTAAATATGTAGGATTAAGCTAAATGGACTCGCATAATGAATTTGTATAAAAAAATCAATATAAAAGTCATATTTAAAGTCTACAATTTCCTCTTTTTTTATAGATATATTTTTATATATATACCACAGTGCAAAAGAAGAAAAATATCTTTGAGCACAGATTAAACGAAAAATAAAAAAAGTTTTTTTTTTCTTTTGCAACATAGTTGTTTGCTTTATCATAAGCTGTAGAAAAATATTGTAACTTGGTAAAATTTTTAAAAAGTAACCAATGTGGTATCTCTTTCCACATGTACACACGCATGGATATATACTTAACATATTTGATAAATATTATTTTCTTTAAAAGTTATTATTAAAAATAAGCAAGATTTAGATATATGCAATTTTCCCTGATATTATTATAGAGACTGATAATCTCGATAAATACAAGATATTTAAAATGTACTACACAATAAAATTCATCTAAATTATAATAATACTCATATTATAATTATATAATATTAAAATGCATTAGAGAGAATTCTGTCATGGAAATTTCTAATTTCAGTAAAATTAAAAATAATAGCTGAAATAATATACAAATATAAGATCCTTAGATATAATGATCTTAGATTTAACTGTACGTTAATATGATTCTTTATCGAGTATATTATTACACAGGTTTAACGATCTTTAGAAAGATTTAAGGAATCTCCTATGTCGGCCGATTGCGATGATTGTTGCTTCTTATGCAACGTCGTCATGTCCAACATGCCTCCAAAGTCAGATTTAATACTCGATATTGTCAGATCTTCTGTTCCTTGATATTCGCTTGGTCTGCTGATCTTCGCGGAATCGATCTGTGCTTCCAATTTCTTACGATCGCTTGTATAATCCTCGGCGCTCGCCGAGAAGCTTCTGCAACCTTCCGACGAGCCGACAGTTTTGAAGGGTGACGGAATCGCATCGACGGTAACGAAGTCGCCCGCTTTGCGTTCGTTACCTTCCATATCCTTTGCCGGCGACATTTTGCCGAGGGGCCCGAATAGATTCGCAATGTTACGCATATACGTGGATGGCGAGGATGACGAGGTTCGCGTAAAGTCTGCGATGGAGAAACTAGACAGCTTCGCCAAATCGGCAGTGGAGAAATTCGCCAGCTTCGTCAGATCCGAAAACTTTGTGATCTGCTGCGTGATATCCGCTAACGGAAAGTCGGAATTCGCTGATGTTCGGCTCTTAGTGCCATCGCCAGCTAGTGGATTCGGCAGTTTTGAAAAATCCGCCGGTGCGAAATCGTAATCGCACTTGGCATTCTTCACCGATACCGTAAGCTCGCCCGATTGAAAACTCGGTATTATCTCTGATGGCGATATGTGTTTGGAGCTTACGATGGAAGTGCTATCTTTTATCTGTGTGATAGACGCGGCATCATTAGGACCCATACTGTCTTTTTTAATACTATCCCGAGAGGTCGATGGTTGCAATACGAACGGCTTGGACGTGGGAGTGATTATGGCACCACCGTCAGGTTTGAAATTGACCGGTGCGAGGAAAACAGCCGCGTTACTAGCTGCGAGACCCACGGCCTGCGGAACGGGTGGTCCAAGAGATTCCGAAGAAGGTACCAAGGGAAATTTCATAGTCAAGTACTCGGGCACATTGCCATCTTCAGAGCCTGGGCAAATCATTTCTCTGATTACATCCCAGTACGAGCCATTTGACCTATTTCGACCAGGCAATTTCGATGCTAGAGAGCACTATTAGTATAAGAGATTATTAGTATGATATTTGACAAGCTTATTGTCTGCACATTGATTGTTAATGTACTCACTCTTAAACGTTCAAGGTATGTTGTATTGTTGTTGAAATTGGCAGTAAAATCGATGCCGCCTTCGCTCTTATAATATTCTATACATCTTCTCTACAAAAATAAATGATATATGACATGATAGTAAAAAAAAGTAAATAAAAGCTTTTATGTGAATCTAATTATCTTCGAATTTTGCATTTATCTTCAAATTTCACATCTTGCTGAATTAAATTTTAATTCATATAAAGTAGTAATACTAAAATATAATAATATAATAATTGTTTCATTAAGAAATACTTACAATCTCTTCCAAAGTATCTTGAGAGAGAAAATGCTCCTGTGATAATGTGTAACTGAGAAGCATTGGTCGAGGATATTCGTGAGGTCTATTTTCAGGTGGTGGTAGAGACCAAAAGACATTGAAATTCGACTCATAGCAATTGCCATCCATATTGTAAGGAGCTATAAATTAAAAAGTGATAATTATAAAGTATACTCTACATACAGAAGAAATTTTTAATATACTCACAGCATATTAATCCCACGCATGGTATATATCCGTTATCGCTAGGTCCCTTCATTTTGATCTGATAATCTAATTGAGAATCCACATCTCTCAACGAAGGTGATGCATGAGAACGTGGGTGAGAATGATACCATCCTACCAGTGTGACACGTTTCCATTCCATGGCTCTTGCAATTTCAGCTTCCACAGCTGCTGCAGCCGATTTTTCTTTGCCAGAGTATCGACATGGAAATGCACATGTTACAGAAAGATCTACAACAAAATATAGCTCAATCAAACAATATTCTAAATGAGCATAAAATGTAATAATCATGTACTTCATATATAATGAAATTCAGTTATAAAATGTACTATGTGAATTGATATCCCAGTGTCCGCCAAGATAGCCGCAAATTTCCTTGTCTGTTAAATGACAATGTAAGTCTACTAATAAGGCTGCAGTGGTTGTGATAGTCACCAAGAAAGGCTGTATCTTTCCGAGTGTACTAAATGATGTCAGTTCTACCATTGTGCTCATATCCCTGCAGAGTAAGAAAAATATTATAATTTTCACAAATAAAGATATACATAATCAAAGAAAACAAATATATTTCTTTATAAACTTACATGGCATGACTTCGTATGCCTAAATTAGCATGTTTTACTGGAACTCGTATTATCTGTATTAGAGGATTGGTTTGAATTTTTTCGCCACTCTCCTCTGCAATTTCTGCTAGTGCCATTTCCATAATCCCAATATACTTTTAAGAAGTAAAGAGAGAGAGATGTGGCTAACAGAATTGAAAAATTCACATATATCCTCTTTTATTTTCTTCGTGTGACGTTTGTCATGTTAGAAAGTTTTTATTATTAAATATATATTATTTCTATCGCTTTTTGAAAAATTGTACAGTATCTTTCATACAATCAACGTGAAATATTTAAAAAACACGTTTTCTGCATAAATTAGAAAAGTATACATATATGCATTGCACGATAGCGTTGCTACCTAACTCAACCTGATCTGATTTGACAGTGCTTGCAGCTGCAGTCGGGAAGATGCTAGGAATGCTTCGAAGCGTTTTGAGTACGGTCGACTTACAATTATAGTTGCCAACAGTTAATAAACCTACTGCCTTTTAAACCTACTGTCGATAATATTATTGTCGAAGATAAGTCAGTGAACGTGATATTAAAATTAGATATATTATCATATATATTATCAGTTATTAATTTTATAGAATACAAAATATAGCAGTTAATATTTTTTGTGTAAATTATTTAATTCTTCTATTTAAAAAATAATTATTACTATATAAAAAACAACCTAAGAATGATATCTTTTCGTCATCTTTTTATAGATGATGTTTTTTTGGCAAAGCGAAAAGATGGCAAAAAGATGTCTTTTCGACTAAACAAAATGTTCTTTTGTAACATGCTAAGTGTTATATATCTTTCTCGTATTTAAGTTTTAGTTGAGAACTATAAAAAATCTGCAAAGCGTGACTAATAAGATATTTTAACCATATTTCTATCGGTTTAATTTTTGATACTAATCCCCATATATAGGGGATTCAGATATTCAACTGATTTTTGAAAAATTCGGGCAGGTAATATCCGATTTTTTCCTCCAAATTAAAAAGAAAGATATAGAGATTTATGATTAATTTTAAGCTTTAAATATCTTTGTATACAATATTCCAACAATAGAGATATTGCTAAAATTAAAGATAATTTAAAAAATATCTTTTGTAATTTTTTCTATTCTAAAATATTGCAAATCTGTTTTAAATCATAAAATATTCTTCTCTCGCCCAAAATAAGTATGTACAACAAATGCGAAATCGATATGCTTTTCCAAATTCAATAGTTTGTTCATATATGATATTGCAGAGATTACAAGGTCCTTTCATGTACGTTTCAATTATCGTTATGTAAATTGACTCTGTTTTGTGATGTGTGCTCAGCATAGGATGAGCATGAACGCGTCGAAGCCTTCGGGCAGCTCTGCTTGCTACGCGCATCCAAAATTGCGATCATATAAATTTGCTAGAGAAAGCGGGAGAGGGGGTCGCCCAATTTCTAATAAAAAAATGCGTCTACGGTTTACATATCCTGAATAGATAAACACATTTGGAGTTTTATACTTATATATAAGGGATGAGAAATATCTATTATTTTTTCGAGAATAGCGATATTGAAGGATGAGTATATATCCCATTTTTTTAAATTTGAAATATCTCTCAAAGAACTTTAATCTATAATCTTTATATTCTATCCAAAAGGTGAAATGTTTGTATGTTGTAGCTATTAAATGATTAAACAGATTAGAATAAACCACATGCGAGGAGAATCAAATATCAGTCAAGTATATCAAAAGGTTAAGTAATATTTGAGAATAATTAAATACTAGCATTATCAAATATTAATTATTTGTCTCATATTTCAATTTAATTAATAAGTACGATATTATTATCTCTGATGTGGAAATAGCCATTGCGTCAATCGTAGAAAATTATAAAATGTAAGAATAAAGTATCAACGGAAAAGAATTTACTTGGAAGCAAGTATATCAACAATTAAATAAAGAGATTTATAGGTAGATTTACAGGAGATTGTTAGGGATTTCTGAGGTATAATGAGACGTGTTCGACTGTATGAATATCGTTCCAGTGCTATTGTAGACATCACATGGGTAAACTGTTTAGGCGGATTATGGCGACAAGCTCTTTGTCACATCTGTCATATACATGGCGTTATATTCCATTTCTATGCCATATTTCGGTATCCAGAGTTCGTTTCTTTTCGCCTACATCATTGAGAGTCGTCATATAATCTAAAAATAGGATTAATCTTGATGCGATGGCCAATATACATCGTGTAAGCAGGAACTTATGAGTTCTCACATCCAGTCACGTTTGCTATTTCTATTCTTTCCGATTTAATTCCATTTTCATCTACAAATAAGAATTCTCTGGTCTTACTCGAGATCTATTAATAACTGTTTAACATTTACAAGTGTAAGAAATCTAATACTCAGAAAATTATTTTTTTATTACGTTATATATTTATTAGCTATCATTTTTTGTCGATAATAATTTGCGCAAACTATTATATATATATATATATAATAGAATAATTTTTATTTGGAAACATATTTTTGATATCTTATATGATTGGCTTCTAATTTCGTCTAAAGCGTAAATTCTGTCGAGAGGAAACATGAATAAAATGACAGTTTCAAGATATTCTATTTATCGTAAGAGAGGTAACAGATTTATCTTACACTTAGAGTATAAAGAGACAACACATACTTATAATACAATTAGAATTATCGATAGCGATTCTCTGTGGATGTTATACGCAATTAAGGAGCATAGTATAACGCGTTTTCTTCCATTTTCGTCTGATATAGAAGAGACGGGAGCATCGGGGGTGCAATTCATATTTGCTGCCGCAGTCAGCAGCGGAGAGAATTGCACCTTTAATCAAGATTTCTACCAATTTGCGAGCGCCGACGGCGCGAAGACAAAGCCTATTGTTGCCGTAACTGGTCGGAGCTTCAAGTGTTCCAACGCAACGGTGAGAGCCTGATGCGCGCGTGTATACCGGGTGTACCGATAAGAGAGACCGATAAATAGTTGATGGTTCGGTTTTCGATATACTCGTGATTCGGTAAATAATTTTTTCGTTAATCGATCAAAAGTCGTTAGATAATATATTACATGATCTGTCAGATTATGCGATGAGATAGAATTGAATTCTATTTTTAGATTCATATCATTCGATTTCTTGTATTTTAACATCCCGCCAAGAAGGTCAGTCTACATTTGAAATCTGAATCCTTTGTAATTTTTAAATGAGAGAATTGTACTTGCAACTAATTTATAATTAACTTATAAATTATATTGTAATTATCATCTAATTAACATTTTAAAAATAAAAGGTAAAAGCGCATTTGAAGTATGCAGGTATAAAAGATACAAAATACTGCAAAGATTTTAAAATTAATGAAGTTTTCAGATACGTATTGAAAAAAAATATTTAATTTTTAATATATCTCTGATAAAATTTTTAAATTATTCTTCTCAATTTTCATATATATATTATTTCGTTTCGTAATACGTAAGACCGTCAATTTTGTATTAACATATAACCAATAATCTATGTAAAGTGAACAGCTATTTACGGATTACCCCGTATACGCACGTCTTCATTGTCGGACCGGGACAGGAGGAGAAGATGAGGATTTTGTAGTGAAGACTGACGCTCAGGAACCGTCGAGCTAGTCGCTTCGCATCCCAGAAGCCTCTATCTCACCGTTCGCTTCCGGCTAAGCCCGCTGCTGTCGCATCCCAGGCAACTTGAGGCTACTCGTAGTTCTGTTTGTGTTTGCTAATTGTGAATTGTCTACTTCTTGCCGGCGTGCATGCGGCGCCGAGAGCAAGTGAGACAGTCGCATCCCAGGCAACTTGAGGCTACTCGTAGTTCTGTTTGTGTTTGCTAATTGTGAATTGTCTACTTCTTGCCGGTGGCTTGCGTGCATGCGGCGCCGAGAGCAAGTGAGACAATCGTTACCTCGGATATACAAACAACAGAGAAAGAGAGAAGGAAGGAAAGGGAGAGAGAAAGAGAAACGGAAGGATGCAAAACGCAAACTGTACGAGGCGAAGTGAGCTTCCGGCTGGAAGCACATCGCCTACGAAATGCTCGGACCGAGGAAAAGCCACCCCCTCGGGGGCCAGCAACCGGGCTGACTCCTTCATCCCCAACCTTACGGCCACTGTCGACTACTCTGCACCACCACTTTTGTGCCGTAGATACTCGAGTTTACCTCACTAGTCAGCAGTGCTTGCACGAGCACTATTCGCCGAGAGGGACCCGCAAGCGAGAAGATACCAATTTTTAGCCGCCTTTCGTACCTCGATCGTACCTCGAGCAGTTCAAGAATTCCACCGTGCGTTCATCAACCGCGGGGATATTTTTCAAAATATGCAATAACAATTTTTATTCTATTTCTTAGTATTCAAAGTCAAATGTCAATGTAATTACAATAAAAATTAAAAAAAAAATAGACAGGGGATAATAAATAAGAGAGACTTCAAACATAAATAATTCACGTTAAAAGTAGATTTAATGTTAAAAATAAAACACACTTCGTGGTCCATTCAAAAGTTTTAAGCGTGCTCTTAACTTAATCATCGCGCCGAACGAACGACGCTTTAATGAAGCATCGGTACTGGTCGTCGGATCGTTTCAGCTCGCGTTAATGAGACAATTTTCAATGTCGCCCCCGCACGAAATAAAACGGTCCCGCGGCTCCGCGCTATTGTTGAGGAAAATGCGCGCGGCGCACCCTCCGTCGGATGCTGTTGGCCGGGCGGACCGCTCGAAATATCACCCCGTCTCTCCAGAGACAGGGGACATATTGTTTGGTTCAGTAATTCCTCGCGTTATTTCCCGTGTGTTTGCTTTTTATCATTGTAAACTGATATATTGTCCGGGGTAATTCTTCCCCTCGCGCGATGGAGAAACTTACGGACGCGGCAGAGAGAGGGATGCGGACGCGAACGACGAAGGGGTCGTAATCGCTTGGACTAGCGGTGCGGAGTTTCACTTCGTAAAGTGATGGAAACGAGATTACACTCGGCCATAACGCCGAGCTGCCTTCTTTATTTTTAAACGTGGTCGCGCTCAACGATGGAAGCTTGTTTTAACGCTTATCCGCGCGGGACTATGCGCGCGAATGTATGTACATACGTGTCTGGAAATGAATTTGATAGAGTGACAGCGCGCAATTGTCATAGTGTTCTGTTTTTCATTTCAATCTCGTATTTTTGGTCCATGTTAGTTCGAGTTGACATCGGAACAAATTTCGCGATTCCTATAACGGAGAAAAATTTTTCGAAAAAGTGATGTGAAATGCAACACGAAGTAATTTGATTAGAAAACAAATTTTATGTCAAGTAAAATTAAAGAAAATAATAACATGAAGATACGTAAATCATCTAGAATCTAGAACATTTTACTCATGTGAAAAATATGCGAATTCAATAAAAATTAACAACATAATAACTTACGATATAGCACGCACAATGTATAGTTTGAAATTATCGGTTTGTAAAAACATCTTTTATTAGATATTAAATATGTTCTACATTTTTACGTTTAATGAAACGATTATTATTATACAATTTATTTCCTTTACTTTAAATAAAAAAATTTTGACATTTTAAATAAAATTAAAATAAAGTAATAAAAATTAAAATAAAGAATATATATTCTTTTTACTTTTTTTATCGTTCAAAAGTTACTGATAAAAATTTTTTCTTGGCTTATTGTTGGTCCATCATCATTGAGATATTGTATTGACATGTATGTACTTCGCGTCAATGTTTGAGCTTGAATTCTCTCGAGTGTCGCGTAAGTACTTGCGTGCGACACTGTGATATACACGCTTGTCATATGGTGTGACACGTGCGCCAAACGCTAAACTCGTCGTACGACAAACAACGAATTAAGTCTCACCGGCCGTTTCTCGCTTCAGACTCGAATCAAATTCTCTCTGTAGTTTGAGACTTGTCAATAAAACGCTACGGGTGCGATGAGATCGATCTACAAAGTTAATGATGAATAAGTGTTTCTGTTAAATATTAAATATGAACATGTATGAACAACGTACTCTTCACGTGAAATTTAACAGAATAAACATATCTTTCTGGAAACAATAAGAGAATTATAATATAATAACAATAGACTCGACTATTTACTTTAAGCATGAAATGAACAATATTAAATTTGTTTAAATGCATAATATATTACATAAACAAGGCGATATTATCATAATGTTGGAAAGGTCTTAAAATAGTTATTTGGCATCGTCTTCAAGTCCGTTTAGGTCTTGGATACGTTCAAAAGTCCCGGATCTATACAGCAATGAAGACGTATCTATCGGTGGAACGTAATTTGTGTTCCTCTTCAGTTAATTACGCGTGGGAGGCATTGATACCGATGCGATGGAAGGGGCGAGACGAGGCGAGGCGAGGCGATATTTAAAGGGCAACGGTGTAATCCGAAGAAAGAGGCGTCGAGGCGCATCACGGCGTCGTTGAGTAAAATGGGTGGCTACCGAGATGTGGTAGTAGAGAGAGAAAGAGAGAGAGAGAGAGAGAGAGAGAGAGATGCGGTTGTGTGTCACACACTGGGGGTCGCCGTCTTAGTGAAAGCTGGCATGATCTAGCACGAAAGATCGGGAGGGAAAGGGAGGGTGTCTATCTGTCTTTATCAGCCAGGCAGGCAGGTAGAGCCGTGTCGAACCGTCATGCCACTCCTGCCTCCCCCGCTTACCCTCTTTCCTTTCATCCCTTGCACCTCATCCCTCTCGCCGAGAGCTACGCCAACGGCGAGAACACCCGATTGGCGTTTCCCTCTCGAACGAGGGAGGACATCACGCACCCCTATTGGCTCCCGGCGAATCCATACTCGGTATTCATTCGCCACCCCATTCGTCGACCCCTCGCGGGGCCGAAATCCCGCGTGTACCCTCCTTTTCCCCGCGTATTCTCTCTCCTCTACGTCCTCCTCTTCGACACCCCTTGTGAGCGACCGATGCGACTCACCCCTCTCTCACGGGGCGCCTTCACAATGCATTTCACCGCCGGCGCTTTTTCACCTTTCGCGCCGGATATTTCTAAATAAATACTTTTTTAATAAGCGTCGGACTGCGCGAACGGCGTAACTGCAGCGCCATTTTTCATCATGTTTTTGTGCCCGGGGAGAAAATTGGATTTCCACTAGTCCGAGTGCCAGTCACTTTTCTCATTCCGATATTTGCTGTATCTAACTGGGGTACTACAATTTTCTACTAACGTTAGCAAATGGTTGATGCAGAGAGATTATCCCCCCCCTCTCTTCCTCTCTCTCTCTGTTTTTAAGTAAAATAAAAATTTGATACAAAATAGAAAATATAATATGTGTGTGCAAAGTTGATTGTAGATTATGCAGATAAGTTTTGCAATAGTATAATATATCTATGAGCAACATTAAAAAATTGTATACTCACACACATACACACGCCCAATATTATGTAAATTATGATTACTTACTAATAATAAAAATCAAGAGTACGATACATTTTATATCGTTAATTTAAGATGGTTATACATAAAAAAGTAGAAACCCTTAAAAAAATGCTTACAATACTTAGTTTGTAATATTGTTTAGAAAATTATTTAAATAGAAGACAATTTTAAAATTAATGCGCGTGAATATTTGTTGAGGTAATATGAAATATATATATATAATTTCATCAAAAATATAAAAACTTTTTTTTGAGATTAGCGTCTTATCATCAGAAATTCATCAATTCAAACAAATTAGGCTGCGCTTTCTCCGACTGGATCGAAGAATTATTGAGACTAAAGTTCGATGTATAAACAATAATTTTTCAAGAAAATATTCATTTATCCTGCTATTGTCATTTAAAAAATGAAAAATGGCATTTAAAATAAAGTGACATCTTACAAGTTCCAACGAGCAGCGGTGCATAGGAGAGAGCATCGCTGATATCTGGCTTCCGGAGCGGCATGGATCGGTTGGTTGGCGGTGAACAAATTAGGCCAAGAAGGAGCCGACGCCTCGGCTCCGAAAGGAAATCGATGCAAAGTGTCGAAAGCGAGGAGAGCGAACCTTCGCCTGTACTTTTGACGTCGCCGGTCGCACCTCGCCCTTTTTGTCGTGAGCTCGAGCGACTCGCGCGGCAGACAGAAACGGAATAGCCGCACCGTGACATCCTGGTGGATAAAAGTAGGAAAGAGAAAGAGAGAGAGAAGGAGAGAGAGAAACGCACATCGAGAAACGTGGGGATGAAGAATTTTACGGGGTGACACGGGTCGAGCAACGAGAAACGGGCTATGGATGTCGGCTCCGCCTATCGTACCGCCCACGCTGGTGGTGGTTGTTGCTAACATCCCCTCGCCCTTCACCCTTCACGCAGCTGGAACCTTCTCGCGGCTTGCCAACAGGCAGCGCACACACGTCATCCTCACCAGCGGCGAACGGCGCCTTCAACCGTCGCCCCGGGGTCGCCGTCGCGATCCATCCATCGGAAATCATCGGACTCGTCGATTTTGGACATTAGGAATTTTTCCGGAAGTGATTCGAGTTGTGTATCGAGTTGTGTGACATCGGAGTTCAATGAATCGTTGGACTGCTACGCGAGATTAAAGACTTTTTGCTGTGAAACTTATCGAATCGAATGGAAAAAACGAGGGAAAACAGCAGAGGAAGAATTTTGATGTGCATATGAGCATGATTGATTTTAATAATAATAATGTTTAAACAACATTGTTTAATTGAGACGTAATGATCCTTTGAGCTCGAAATTCTAAGTCATAAATAATCAATTGCAAAGAGATTCCAGATTTATATCTCGATGATTACGAATAAATTAAAAATGAAACGGAGATACCAGTTCGATAAAAGTGTAGGACGTTATTAGTGATCATAAACATGGAATATGAATTGATTAGAGGATTGGAACCAAGAATCTTGATGATGCCGACGGACAATCAGGATAATGTAAAGTCGATTATTGATGTGTCGATCATCAAGTCTCGACGGCTTTATTTTTGTGATGAGGACGACAGTCTCTTGAATTTGGTGTCGTCGATTCGTGTCGCGATGTGTGTAGCTTGAAATTATTCGCGACAAATTTATATAATCGCTTAGGACGGTACGAAAAACGTGTACCGTGACTGATGGGAAAGAACTTTACGCGAAACTTCAATTATATTCAATGTTGGATGTTCGACAATTAATCGGAAGTCGGTGAAAGTGTTCGGGCTGGTAGGAAGAACGTCGTGTTGTGAGCTGTGCTGCTGAGTTCGATTAGACGGCAAAATTTCCACAATTTTTGTAAGTATAAACGATTAAAAAAATAACATTCTTTAAAATTTAAGAATTGTTAATAAATTGAACAATAATCAATATAAATTTCTTTTATGTTGTATTCACATTTTACTCTCAATTTTCTTTTATATATATATATACATAAAG